TAGAGCTGACTTCTCCTTCACACTCTCGTCGGAGATCCAGGTCGAGAGTTGGGCCCTGTCACGCTGAAGCGTCTGGACGGAGAACATCATCTTCCCCTCGCACTTCTCACGTTGGTGCGGCTGGCTTGCCTGGCAGCGATTCTCCATGAGCCGGTCGAATTCCGCGATCCCCAGCTCCACCTTTCTCAGCATTGCCTCAATCTCGTTGAAGGCCGGGGCCAACACGTCACGCTGAAGAGTTGTTGTTAACCTCATTATTCGGGCTTCAATCTTCGACCTCGCATCCGTTAGAGCTGACTTCTCCTTCACACTCTTGTCGGAGATCCAGGTCGAGAGTTGGGCCCTGTCACGCTGAAGCTTCTTGATGGCGAACATCTTCCCCTCGCACTTCTCACGTTGGTTCTGCTGGCTTGCCTGGCAGTGATTCTCCATGAGCCCGTCGAATTCCGTGATCTCCAGCTCCACCTTTCTCAGCATTGCCTCGATGTCGTCCTGTGTCTTGGCTGCTGCCATGGTCATAGGCGTTGGCAGACTGGGGCAGCCGGTCTTTACACAAGGCTTGAGACCTCAAGCATCTGCGGTGATAACCGACACGCTGAGCCTAGGCGGTAAGCCTCAGCTTTCTTTATCCGCTGGGTACGCCCACCCAAACAAAACACCAAAACCCTGGTGACCCTAGCCCACGAAGTCGACCCCCCAAAAAAATAACCCTCAAAAACCTAAAACCCCAAACCCCTACAAGGCTCCGAAATGCCTCGAAACGCCTCTAGAAACCACCCCCCTCTTTGAAGCCTCGCCTAAGCGCTCTCCTCTGCAGTGCCGCGGAGGCCAAGGAAGGCGTACATGTGGCTGATGCCTCCCTGCAGCTTCCTCGGGATATCACGCCGCTAGATTTTGTCTCTATACCCTAAATCCCTAAGACCCTGACTAGCCTTAGCTAAGACTTTAAGGGGCAGGGCCTGGATCTAAAAAGAGCTCTGCTGGTTCTGGCTTGGGAGATTCATGGCCTCAATCGCGCTTTGCTGGGTATAGGCTTTGCTCAAGATTGCGCGGGGGGGGGGGGGGGGGNNGGCTTTTGGAAGTCTGAAAAAGGGCTTTGAGTGGTTACTACGTCGGGCTCTCGTTGGCAAGAGTTCGGCATTTCGGCGCTCGGGGGAGTGGTGAATAAAGCCGCAACCAACAAGTCGAAATCTATTCAAAAAACAACCCTCGACCCTGAAGCCCAAACCCAGGCCCTAACCCTGAGTCCCTGAGCCTCGGAGCCTGAACATTCATAACACCAAAACGGATCCTCGCAGTTAGGATGCAGGACTTCTAACCCTGGACGGCTCTCCATTGCTGTAAATTTTTGGTGACTCTGGTAGCTACGCCCAGGTGACCTGACCCATAATTCCTCCCTCTATACTGCGAGACTCCGAGCCTTGCAGCTGGGTCACTGGGGCGGGGTATACTGCGGGAAGAACTTCGAGGTGGCCTCTGCGCCGGCAGCGGACACCACNNTAGGGTTTAGGGCTAAGTTTGTTTTTTTGAGGGCCTTTTCTGTTGCTTGCTAAGTTTAGGGTTTAGGCAGTGGTTTTGGGTGCTTTGAGGCTAGGCGACGAGGGTTGGCGACCACTCGGCCCAGAAGCGTTGAGCGAAGCCCGCATCCCCTCAAGCTGAAACCTAAGCCCTGACAGAAACCCAAGCCCTACCCTAATTTCCTAAACCCCTAAACCCCTTCACCCTAAAACCCCTCAACCCCTAAACCCCTAAACCCCAAAGCCCAAACCTAAAACTCTACCCTAAACCAGAATGAATGACTGCTCAAGCCAATGCTCGACGGAGGAGCCGGGATCTGGGTGCCGTTCCGGAGGGTCACGCCGGTGACCTGGGCTGAGGTTGCTCTGATCTCGGAGAGCACCTGCTTCTCAGGTGTTACAAGGGCCTAAGGGCTCCTGAAAAAGGGTTGATGACTGGGTTGGTAGGATTTACATTGATTTATGGTAGCAGCCGGCAAGCGGTTCAGAGTGGTGGGTCCTGTTTAAGAGAGCATCGGAATACGACTCAGGGAGTAGGTTCTTTGCAGGCCGATTCACTGTATAAGGCGTCCACGTAACGCAGCTTTGGCGATTCCGCTCCGCTGTCTTGCGGTCCTGACCACCACCACTACCATCTAAACTGCTCCCTAGATTTTGCCTATGACCTGCTTGAGATGCTTCAGGCACGAAGAGCAGCTCATCCGTCAGGCTTCACCTTGGTGCCTACGATCCTCGCTTCGCCAAACCCTCAAATTCAACCCTGAAACACCGTGAACCATGCTCACAACCCTGAAGCAACAACCCTGACACCCTGAAAGCTTTAGACGACGGGCCGTTGTCCCAAATGTCCGATGTGTGTGAGCGTGTGCGCGGGTGGATATGTAACAAAAATGTCGAACTAACTGCTCGCTCTTCATTTGTAGAGAAAACGTGTCACTGTCTATGTAGATTTCTTAGAGATCCCTTCCTTAGGGGCCGAGTACCTTGGCCGAAAAAAGGTTAACCTTTTGAATTACTATATTAGGTTTACATAAGCCCCAAAAGAGTAATGGTTACCTACTCAGCCCCTAAGTTTCTTGGCCCTTCCGAAGGATCCAAGGCGCCCGATTCCGCGCCACCTCCACCCGAGCGACTGGGGCGTTCACGAGGACCCGGCCCCCGGCTTTCTCGATGGTGCGGATGAGACCCCGGCTGATCCTGCATCATGGAGCTTCGGAGTCATGCATCTTCATGGAGCTTCGGAGTCAGGGGTCGAGGGGCTTCAGGTTTTGAAGGTCTTGGTGGGTTTGGGTGGGTTTGGGTGGGTCTTAGCGGGTGAGAGCTTGAGGTTTCAGGCTTCTTAGGGCTACGCCTTGCGATTTTGGCAATTTGGGCTCAGCGAAGCCTCTGCGGGCCCCCGACGGGGTAGTAGCCGCCCTCCAGGTAGTGGCTGACGATGCCCGAGTGGATGAAAAAGGAAGCCGCGGATGGCCTCCTCGGACTTCTGGGGTTTGGGCTTTGGGATGGGAGGTTGTTTTTTTGTTGGGAATCCCAGAAGCCTAGATTTTGAGTGACACACCCTAAACCCTACAAATCCTAAACCCCTAAACTTTAGGCCCTAAACCCCAAATCCTAAACCCTAAACCAATTTTAGTGTTCCTTGCGATGAAACCCCGATACCGGCGTCCGCTGGGACTTGACAGAGAATGCTTTCGGATTTCGGACGGTTCAATTCCTCCTCCTTTTCCTCGTCCTAGACCACCACCTCTGCCACCACTACTCCTGATTGATACTGCTTCTACTGTTGATGATACAAATCCTGCATGACCTTAAGGATCCTAAACTATGGGAATTATGGTATATTCCTTATTATGGGTAATGCAGGATTTATATCGTCAACCGTATGGCGACGTATATAGGCAGGGCCGCATGCCGTAGTCACCGAACTGGCCGAGAAGGATGGACTTCAGCAGTTCCGAGGAGAAGAGCTCGTCCAGCACCTCCTTCGCCTTCAGAAGCGCCATGTGATGTTGGGTCTACCCAGAGACTCCAATATCCCTTAATATACCTTTAATCTTAATAGGAACCCTTGTAAGATGTAAAGTATATTCCTCAAAAGGGATATTGGAGTCTCTGGGTAGGGTGTTGGCATGCAGAGTTCAGGGTTAATTAGACAGTTTCTGTGAGGCTTGTGATGCTCAGGACTTGGTTGTAGTTTGGGGCTGCAAAAATCCAGGACCCAAAACACAAGGTGTTGGCCTCTAGGGCTTACTGTAGGGTTTCGGGTCTAGGGCATTGCGAGTTCAGAGATCACTGCACTCCAAACCCGACATCCTAAGCACTCAGTCCCAAACCCTGACGCCATTCACCACAGGCCCTTATTCTTGCACAGCTGCGGTTCGGGTCGCGAGCTTCTTGAACTTGCCACCAAGGAGGAGATCCTCCCAGTGCCCATGACAACAGGCAAAAAACAGCCCTCCAAACGGATGAAAGGGATTGTGCAGCAGGCAGCCCTTCCAGAAGGAGTCGAAAGAGGATGAGGGTCCGTCCATTGAAGAGCTTTCGACGAATGAAGACTCCAACAGATATCCCATGCGAATCTCTGGAAGAGGGCCTAAACGACCGAAAACAACTCCTAAACCTGAAAACCTAAACTATACATATCCATAGCAAGCTCCAGGGCCAGAATGGGCCAGGGCTTCTGGGTTCATTGTAGAGGGGGCAAAACATAGGGCCTGCAAGGGTGAGGTAAGGATACTTAACTTCAAAGGTGCTTTGTGGTTAAGGTGGTTTTAGGGTTTAGGGTCTAGGTTTTAGGGTTTAGGGTTTAGGGCTTTTGTTGTGGCTGAAGTTACAGGTTGCGTGTAGAGGGCTGAGGGCATCAGGATTTTCAGGGGCGTAGGGCCGTCACCCCAACCCCCCAAACCCTAACCCCAAAACGCTGAACCTGAAACCTCAAAATCCCATGGGCCCAAAAATATCCCCAGAACGAAGTGCAAAGCCCTAAAATATCTACACGCCTAAAGCCTGAGCCCGAAACCCTGAACCCTAATGGACCCGTCAGCCTTGTAGCACCAGCCCTCCTCACAGTAACAAGAAAAGGAGTCCTTAACTCTGTAAACCCTAAACCCTAAACCCTCTTTAAAGGAAGGAGACCCGAATCCCCCGAAAGGCTCCCTGGAACCCTTAAAAGTGGTCCAGGAGCAGCTCCAGGGGGCGCGCAAAGAGCTTGCCGAAGAAGTGGAGCTCCGCTCCCTTTTGAGTTTAGGGTTTAGGGTTTAGGGTTTTGTGTTTTTGAGCTTGGGCCTGGGGCTTTGGCGGTGGTTCTGTGCTTATGGTGTTGAGTTTAGGGTTCAGGGCCTGAGATTCAGCGTTTAGGGTTTCGGGCTCTGGGGGATCGTTGGCTTAGGGGGTCGCTAGCGGAACTACTTACCTAGCCCCTCCATCTACCCTCTATTAGACCCTAAATACTCTTAATTTGGGACCATATACCCTTATTTGAGGGTACTTGGAGGGTCCTGGTAGAGACTGTAATCGGCGTCTGAATCAACAGAGTCGCTTCCAGCCACGTCAAAATCCAGCCTCGAGCCCAGAAACTCCAAACCCAAAGGCCCAACGTCCACTGAACCTTGGGCCCTGAATCCCCAGTGCCTCACTTACCTGTCTTTAGCACTCAAGCCTCCATCTCTCTCTAACATAGGGGCCCTTCACAATCAGAATAGGGCTTTGGGGCCCATTATGATATAGGTAGAATAACGAACCCCAACAGATTAAGCCAAGGGCCTTGTTGCACTTGGTGACCAGCTCCACGTACTTTTCAATACCCTCTTTCTCCTCCGGAAAACGCTTCTGGAGGTCCTTTCCGGCGGCAAAGACCCTGCGGGCCCCTGAGTCGTAAAGACATAAAGCTCCTAGACTTCGGGGTTTGGGGTGCGCGTATGTGCATGTTTAGGTGATAGACATACATACACATATATATATATGTATATATATATATATTCATATATGTATATATATATATATATTCATATATATTCATATTTATATATATATATATATGTACTCACATATATTCATATATATATATGAATATATATGTACATGTATACATATATATATATGTTCACATATATTTATATACATATACATATATATATATATATATGTCTAGTTTGTTTAGGGCTTCGGGCTTTAAGGCTTTCTGGTTTCATTTGGGCTCAAGGCTGCTGCGATCGCAAAGCATCCAAAAACGTTCCACGAAGCCCCACACCCCAACTGCGAAACAAAGCACGGAGTAAAAAAAAAAACTACAGTCTAAAGCTAAGACTAGATCGGTTGTGTAAGCATATACATACATATGTATCTATTTATGTGTTTGTTTAATTATTTATATATGTGTGTGTGTATAATTTCCTGTATTTGATACTTTCTCTTATCTACATATATATATATGTATAGTATATACATATATATATATACATATACATATATATATATACATCGATATATACATATATGTGTACCTTTGCTCAACTTTTCAGTCCGTCTCAGGTCCTCAATGAAGTGTTGCCGCCCAGCTCGAAGAGCCTGGACCGGCTCCTGCAAAGGACCCCGACTTGGGTGATCTTGGGTACTCCTAGGGTTTTAGGGTTCTGGGCTCAAGGGTTCACGGCTTGCGCTAGCCTTTTGGGAAAAAATGTCGAGGATTCAAAAACTGCATTTTATGCCTTCTCGAAGGCTCTCATTGGGCCAAAACCCAATGATTCGATGAAACTAAATTGAAGCCGCAATAAAAGCATTTTTACCTCTCAGCGCTGCCAAATTGAATCCTCAGGCCAACTCCAACTTTTTTATGTTGGCGCCTTTTTCGCGTTCTTGGAGCCTCTAACACAACTTTCCACCACAATCATAGCGGATCCAGGTCCGCAACTAAGATAGGATTCTATGGCACTTGATGAGAGCCAAAAATACTTTGATGCGTCGGTATTGGGCTCAAGGGTGCAAGGCTTGGTGTTTCGGGTTTGGGGCTTTGGATGTTAGCTTGGGATAGCTTGGGTTTAGGGTTTAGGGCTTTGTTTTGAGTTTGGGATTTAGGGTTGTGTTTGTGTTTACGGGGGTTGGGGCGTTGTCCTTCGTCGAGGGTTTAGGGTTTAGGCATGGGGTTGAAGAGCCCTTTTTAAGTTGCTAGGTGCCGCCAAGCGAAAACGTAGTGTGGCACGAAGCTGCGATCGTCCTTGACTCCTGTGCTACATGGTGTGTGTGTGTTTGTGTGTGTGTGTGTGTCTGTCTCTCGCCGCGTTTGCATCGCTGCATCCGTCCGCGGCGGCCTTCTGCAGGTGAACCCGCGGCAGGTACCGACCACGAGCATGCGGCTCGGGACATGTTTCCTACTTGCACCGGTTGCTGGACTGCCAGACCTGAGCGCCGTGTCTGGCGGCGTACGCCGCGCCTGGCTTGCAACGACTCTTTTCACAAGTCACACAATTTACTGGAGAGCGCTGGTTTCAAGTCGAGCCTGCACACCCTTAACCCCAAACCCTAAACAAAGCCCTTAACCCTAAACCCTTAACCCTAAAACCCTAAACCCTAAACCCTTAACTCCAAACCCTAAACCCTTAAAATCCCCAAACCGAAACCCTGATAGCAGCTCCGATCTCCTCTCCGAGCTTGATGCGATCGTAGACGAAGCCATCGGATTCACTTCCGAGCCTTGGGAGTTCAAGCGTCTAGGCTTTAGGCTTTAGGCTTTAGGGTTTAGGGTCTAGGGCTTAGGGTGGGTTTAGGGGTTTAGGGGTTTAGGGCTTTGGGGTTCAGGGCTTAGGGTTAGGGTTTAGGAAGGTGTCTCGGCTTCGGAATATCGGCGTTCTGCTGGTCCGATTTCATCTGCGTTTTGTGGGGGTTCGGGGTTTTTGTTCGATTGCGTGTTCGGTTATGGAGGAATTGGGATTTTTGTGATAGTTTTATCCAAAGCTGCACTGATGTCACGGATGCTTTGGCCATTTGACGTCATCCAGCTCTAGCTTCCACGCACTTGAAGGGCGTAGCAGCAGACTTGGTGCGGGGTTCGGGAGTTCGGGCTCAGGGCTTGGGGTCAAGGGGTTTGGATTAAGGATTAGCTAGGTTCGAGCTCGAAACGGGCGGTTAGGCTGTTGTTTTCTCGGCTTTATGATCGACAGGAGCTACGTTCCTCCTGATTAAGACCCAGGAGCACAGCACTACGAATGACGAACATCGATATAAAAATGCCCGCATGTACCTGCTGAGAGCCACATGACAAGGATGCCAGCTACCATCATCCCAACGCCAGCGGCCAGTGGACTAGGGTTTAGGGTTTAGGGCTTGACTAGGCAATGCTCAACTGCTGCTCGCAATTTTGGAGAGCAAGGGTCTGTGCAAACTTGATCGGCTCGTCAGACACGAGGTCCAGCAGCTTTCCATACTTCTCCACGCGCCCTACGTAGTGCACGCCTCAGGGCTTTCGGTGCCCTGAGCCGA